TCTGCCCTGTAACTCATATGGTCACCAAGAGTCCGAATTGATTCATCAGCAAATATCTTTTGGTTTATAACTGGCTTGGTGCAACTCAACAAAGTTAAGTCAGTCCTAAAACTGGTGAACTTTATTGAGTGCTTACTGTGAATTAAGCTTTAATATAAATATTAAAGTTAAGTTCTGCCCACTTTGCTGGTTCAGAATAGCTTCATTATTTGTAAATCCTTTCTCACAACTACCTATGCGATTGGCAGTCATTAACAAGACTTACAAAAGAGGAAAATGAGTTCTGAGACAGGTTAGACATCGGGCCCATGGACACAAACCTAGGAAACGGCAGGGGTGAATTTAAAGCCAGAGCTCTTGGCTCTTTACCATTATGCCTCATTGGAGTTCAGAAACATAATGCCAGGCATGTGAGCTTCACTTGGATAGAGAGCATTTTCCCATATGAAGGCCAGACTCCTCAGGGCTGCTGCTTGTTCTGCTCCACCAATTACCGTATCTGATTGTATTTGATGTCACTGTATTTCAAGTTGCATGTGGGGGAGTGGGGGACTCTAGGTTTCATAGAGACCCTGGGAAACAAAGAGAAAGCACTCAAAGGGATCACAGTGATTGGTTGTATGGCACTGGGCGGGGTGGGGGTAGACGTTATTAGCTCTCTGTTGACCCTGAGAAAAGCATATATGAGAAAAGGAATGCAGGTACTATGATCACAGACTAGTATCATAATTCACAGCCAGACAAGAGTTGGAATGAAGGCCAACACTGTGAAATCTTTCATGTTCCATGGAAGGAGGGTCTGGGGAATATAGATCAGCAGTCTTCCTGGAGGACAGAGTAGAACTGCCCCTGTGGGTTTCCAAGACTGTACAGTCATGATGAGAGCAGAAAGCCTCATCTGTCTCCGGGATGGTTTCGAGCTGCCGACCTTACAGTTAGCCACCCTACAGGATCACTGTGAGATGAAATCTACTTGGCAGATTGTTTTATTTTTTCAGTTTACCTGGAAGTTCACAGTCTAACATTTACCCTGCTAGGGTTTCTTTTATGACACAATAGGAGAAAAAAATGTTCTCAGCAAACTATGACATTGACATTTGAGATCAGAGAAGGGATTCAGGCTGGAGATCATCTTTCTAGTAGCACTGTTGTTAGTGTGCTGAGTTGTTTTCTGCTCACAGGGAGCCTATGCACAACGCAAGGAAAGCATAACTGGCTCTGCATCATCGTTACAATAACTGCTGGGCTTGCGTGGCACTGTTGTTAGACCACTGTGCTGGTCCATTTGGTGGAAGTTCTTCCTAACTTTTGGTTAACCTTTTACCAAGTGTGATGTTCTTTCCCGGGTCTTGAATCCTCCTGATAGACTAAGACTATGTCCTCTCATCATCCCTTCTAAGGAGTATTCTGACTGTACTTCTTCTAAAACACACTTATTCATCCTTCGGGCAGTCTATGCCACATTCAATCTCCTTCACCAACACCATCGTTCGAAGGCATGAAGTCTCCTTTGGGCTTCCATATTCATTGTACAGCTTTCATAGGCCTATGAGGTGAAGAAAAATTCTATGGCCTGTGTCATGTGCACCAGTCAAAAAGGGCACTTTGCTTTTTCAGACCTTTAAAGGGATCTTTTGCAATAGATTTGCCCAGTACGATATATTGTTTGCTTTTTTCACTCCAGGACTGTTGATTTTATATCTAAGTAAAATGAAATACTCAGCAACTTCCACCATTTCTCCATTTGGCTTGTTTATTGGCCCATTGTTAGGCTTCTTGTTCTTCACGTGGAGGCATAATCCATACTGAAGGCTGCAGTCTTTGACCTTCATCAGCATGTGCTTCAAGTCATCTTGCCTGTGAGCAGGCATGGTTTTGTCATTTGCATATCACAAGTTGTTAATGAGTGCTCTAATCTTGATGACACATACTTCTTAATATAGATCAGTTTCTCAGATAATTTGCTTAGCAAACAGTTCTAATAAATCAAACCCACTACCATCAAATTAATTCCAACTCATAGCAAACCTATTTTGGAGACTTTATAAATCTTTGTATGAGCAGACAGTCTCTTCTTTCTCCTATGAAATGGCTGGTGGTTTTGAACTGCCAACCTTAAATTGAGTAGCCCAATGCTTATCAGACAGTGCTACCAGGTTCCTTACAGATTGAATAAGTATGGTGAAACGATATAACCCTGATGCACACCTGTGACAGGTAGGGTTTTTTTTGTGCCAACATGTTTCCTGTAGAAACATGTGGGCAGAGTTTAGCCTGTCAGTCAGGTCACAGCTTGACTGGAGGGCAATTGAGATCAATGGCGAGATAAATGGCTCACTGGAGGCAGGCTACTCTCTGCTTCACCTTCCTGTTGATGAGCCTCAGCCACACTAAAGGCAGCCTGAGCCCTGGAGATATGTCCACCGGGATGGGATCTATAAGACTTTGCACCCACCAGCCTGTGATCTTCCTGCATTCTGCATCATTGTGTGTGGCTGCATGAGTCTGAAGAGGAATTTATGGACTAGTATCAGACATATGGAGTAGTGTCAGACTTAGGGACTTGAACTGGCCTGGGCTGGGATGTTTTCTTGATATGTAATTCATTCTTAATATAAAGCTCTTTCCTATACATATATGTGTATTTCTGGATTTGTTTCTCTAGTCAACCTGGCCTAACACAGCACCTTTCCTGATTTCAAACCACGCAGTATCCCTTTGTTGTATCTGGATGACTGCCTCTTAGTATATGTACAGGTTCAGCATGAGCACATTTAAGGGTCCTGGGATTCCCGTTCTTCTCAATTTCATGCATAATTTGTTATAATCCATGTAGGAAAATGCTTTTACATAGGCAATAAAACACAGGTAAACATCTGAGATCTGGGCAGATAAGAGAAAGTTAAGTGGCGCCAATGGAAATATTTGGGAATGAACTGGATTGAGTTGGGGAATGAAGGTATGCTCATTAGTTGATATCTTTGAAATATGGTGGTCAATGAATGAATGATCCTTATGAAAAAAATGGGCAATTTTTTTAATCAAGAAAATATTTTGAAATTTTATTCTAGGAATATTTTAAAGATAAGCCAGAATTCAGCATCTCTTTGAGTAGGTTATTTGTAATTAGTTAGATTGGATTAATAAAAAAAACCTTATGGTCCTATTGAATCTTGCAAGACTATCAGAACAAAGAAGTCTAGGACAAAGTGCAAATGTGTTGTAGAGGACGAAAGAGATAGATGCCCATATTTCAAATATAATTTATGGAGGTCATTTATTGTCTGAAACAGAACAAAGACAAAAATACATCATCCCAGTGAAGGAGGACATCAGCACGAGGTCTTAATGGAGCTCAAGGATTTATAGGTTGATTAAATAGTGCATGGGTATGCAAGGGAAACTGTCCCAAAAGCATGAGTGGTGGCAGATTATACACTACAGTTGCAGGAAGGATTATAGAAGCAGGAATGTGGCCATGATTAAAGCACACCCATTTTGCTAGATAGAAGATTGGTTCAGGGCCCTCAGACCAAAGTAGCCATATTGTGACTCAAGGTGGGTCACCTTCATTCAAAACTGCCATCTAGCTAGCCAATTCTGACTCATAGCAACACTATCGGGCTCCTGCCCCCGTGGGTTTCTGAGGTTGCCAATCTTCATAGGAACAGACAACCTCATCTTTCTCCTTTGAAGGGGCTTGTGGAAACAAACCTCTGACTTTGTAGTAAGTAACCCAAGAAGCTACCTCACATTCCATTAGGGTAAACTCAGGCAAATGGCTAAGGGATAGGACTTCTGGGAGTAGTAATTCACTTCCCAATGCACTCTGCCTGAGGGCTAGGGTCTTTAATGCTCCCTCCCCGCCTTTGAGTCCTGGTAATCCCCCTGTGGGTTTCAGATACTTTAATACTTAAGGGAATGATGGTAGGACATAATTCAATGGAGGCTGAAATATTGTGAAAACTCAATATGGATTTAGGTCTTCCACTATAAACTGTAGCCTACTGTACACAGTGCTCAGAATTTTAAATTCTAATACATCAGAATGCCCCTTAGGATTGAGGATGGTGCTTTTTCATTTGCCTTTTGGGCACATCATCAGGTGAGAGTAGCCCCTGAAAGACATACCACCAGCAAAACAGAGTAAGACACTCAGGGAGGTGGACTGACACAGTGGCTGTAACTGAGCCAAACAACAATTTTGAAATGCTAGTGTTCCATTCAGTTGTACATAGGATAGCATAAAACAACAAATAACAGCATTTACACTTATATCCCAGGACTGGAGAAAAAAAGAAAAAGATGATAAAATGCTACTTTCTTAAGAAAGAAGCGCGCCGGCATCGTGTGGCGCGTCTAAATCCAGAGGCCCTTTTAAAGTCGGATGCAGTTTTTCCAGAACTCACAGTAATGAACTAGCACAAAACGCTCAACCTGAAGTTTAACGACTTGCTATTTTCCAACAGTTAACTTCCTTCCAGGGATCTCGGTTCCAAAAAGTAGGAGTTTGAAGCAGTTCAGGGTTTTTAATGCCGCGGGTAGGAGACCAGCCGCAAGGTCGCGTCCCCGGACTTCTTTCTCCCAGAGCGGTACCTGGCTGGGCGGTTGGTGGATTTGACCAGTTGCGCCCCACCTTGCCCTCAGCGCCGGGACTGCGCTCTCAGATGCCCCGCCCCTTGCCCCGCCCCGTCGCCCCG